ATTGTCTTCCTCTTCACACCAATTTATTGCTTAAAGGAAGATGTTAAGGAGAAACCGGGTAATAACTGTTGGGTTGTATCTCTTCATCATCTGTCACAACATAAAAATCTATCCATGGATGAATTTTGCAGAAAGAGACACAATGACCTACACTGTGCTGCTTTAAGTGCGCCTTAAGTAAAAGTTCCACATCCTTATTTCCACTTGGTCCTGACTGTGTGCAAGGGAGTTAATTAATATGCTTAACGTCTCAAGTTGAACATATAGCAAATTAGATGACTCAAAACCAGTCACAAATGCTTGACCCTTAACAGCGTCCTCAAAATAACTACTTCCGTCCGTATTGCTCTGGCCACATACAACACCCTCCTCATGGCACCTTTGAATAAACAATGAGTGAGGCGTTCTGAAAAATACCGAATGTTCGCAAGTTGATTTGACAATAAAATACAAAAATCACCTCGTCTCGCGTCAATCACTGAGCCATCATGGGGCATTTTTAAAGGCCAAAACCAAAAAAGTTGTCTCTCTTAAAGCATTTTATCATCTAGTAAGGTGACGTGTGAAATGCAAACATGAAAAATTGTCTCCTGGCAATTCGTTTCAAGTTATCTACATAGCCCACTCAAACTAAAACGTTTATAGATGTCTGAGCTTTCAGAGCCTACTGCAAGATTTTCAAATAGCTATACAATTGACGATGTTTTATGATTTAAATTGTACCCTAACCTTCATCTTTTTTTAACTCGAATACGGGAGCTTTTATTTCACCCTTTGTGTAATGTGAGAGATTGGGATCAATCAACTAACTGATCACTTTGTATGTATTCGTGACTGCGCCTTCCCTGTGAGAACATCCGCAGCAGCAAGCCGACGGATTCTGCTTTTAACCTCACTGATGCTGTCAGTCTATTTATCCATGTCCACTTTGGTAACGACTTAAAAATGCTCATTACAACCTTGCCATTTGTATCTAGCCTGTGAAATAGGGCAAGCCATTCCAAATGCTCCGTACAAATATCTATCCACTGGCAAATTCGCCATGTCAGGTTCAATAGAAAAGGATTACCTACTTTAGCATCTAAAAGAAATCGAAATTTAAAAACTTAAGCGTTCATTTATATAAACAGGGTCGAATGACAAGTCAACCGCTGTGAAATTGGGCAATGTTTTATACTATACTATACTGTCAAGAAACAGTCGCAAACGTGAGAAAAAGTGCATTTATGTCAATAACACTCCGCAAAGGCCGATGGGATAGTAGACTAAGCAATTTGCTCCACTCTGATCAAGCATCCTTCAAAAGAAGTCTAGAAAGCCCTGCTGGACCAAAAAAGCCCAATAATTTTATGGTAAAATATTATTTGTGGTCTTCAACGTGCAATAGTAGGGGCCAAGGTTGCTTTAATTTTAGCAAATTTTCTCTCGCTTTGCACAAATTTGCAGACTTAGAACAGTAACGAACTCACTTAATTGCTTCGTTCATGTGATCGCATAACGTCTAGTGGTCACTTTAGGATTTGTCTGGCCCTTGTACTCGTAGTTCAGTGGCTTTGTCCTATTTGGAATACATATAGCCAGCTTCACTTACAGCCTTCTTCCACCCTGTGGGAAGTCAAGGGAGATTACACTCACAAAGGTGTGATTTTGGTAGTCGGATAGAAGTTTGTTCTCATCGAAAGTAAATACGAACACTGAAAAGGTCTAATGGGTCACTAGCAAATTGAAATGATGAAGGAAAAATACAGACAAGAAGTCAAAATCCCAATTCTACATTCCACTAATCTGTAGCAATTAATTGCAAATCAGAGCACAAATAAGGAGAATGCTATAAAATCTTTTCATGATTGGATTTATACTATTTGATTTGTAATTTTAGGCTACCCACGTAGTGTTTAAGTCCAGACCCGATTCGCCTTCACATGCGTAAACTTGAGCTATAAACTTTTACAAGTTTTTATCTTCAAGTGAAATCAAAATGCATATCTTATTTTCGATTGGTCGAGAGGTCTTTTGTGCACTGTGGCTGCCAATCATTCTCAGGCCTTAGTCTGCGCCTTACCTCATCCCAAGGTGGTTACCTTCACCTATATCGTTTGAGTAATGAACTTCCCAGAATATAGTTGTGATATTTATGAGTCACATCAGTTCTGTTATCTGAAATGTCTCATTGGCTACGATTAAGATTTGTTCTTTATACAAATGTAGGTGTGAAATGGGCATTCTCGATAAAATTGCTGAAGTCGAGCGTGAAATTGCACGCACGCAAAAAAATAAGGCTACAGAGTATCACTTGGGTCTTCTAAAGGCAAAGTTGGCCAAATACCGGGCCGAATTGTTAAAACCTGTTGATAAGTCGCAGAAGGGCGAGGGCTTCGACGTTCTCAAGTCCGGGGATGCACGTGTTGTTCTAATTGGCTTTCCATCGGTGGGCAAATCGACTCTGCTGAATGCTTTGACTTCCGCAAATAGCGAGTGTGCTGCCTATGAGTTCACCACGCTCACTTGTGTTCCGGGTGTGATTGAGGTAGGTATTCGCGATCTTATCTAACGTCATGGTTTAGTACGAAGGAGCTAAGATTCAATTGCTCGATCTACCTGGTATCGTGGAGGGAGCCGCTCAAGGTAAGGGTCGTGGTCGTCAGGTGATTGCAGTTGCTAGAACTGCTGATCTTGTGCTCATGATGATTGATGCCACCAAACCCCTCATTCAACGGTGAGTTGGAATCTCGTTTTCTCTGTTCTCTAATTACTAGCTGATGCTGGCAAAATTAGTGCTCACTTCGAAAATTTTGATGTATCAAATCCAAAAGACGACTCACGTTTTCACTTCACCACATAGTTTGCAAACGCTGCGGCTGTAGTTCCGGTGTACTTTGTAAAGCATAATAAGTATTTGATGTTCTTGCATTCAATTTGTTCGTTTTTTGTAATTTTCTAACAAATTATGGAGGTTTGTGGGCCATTTTTCGCTCGAAATACTCGTAGATAGCTTGGAAGCCCTTGATGCATACATATCTTCCAACTTGTATCGTTTGCTTTTCAGCCTGATTATGACGTTTCCATGCCGTTGTTTTGCTAACCAATCATTATTCTCGTCTCCTGTATCTTTTGATGTAGGGAGCTTCTCGAGAAGGAGTTGGAGAGTGTAGGAATTCGTCTAAACCAACGGAAACCTAACGTCTACTTCAAGGTACTTTGTTTTGCCTTTACACTATTACTGTGATAAAGCTTTTGGAAGCACTCAGACGATGGATTCCCTCAATTTTATTATCAGAAAATCTAGTCAATGCATACTGCCGCAAGTCTCAGCTATTTTCCCCACTGAACTTGAGTTCGTTCCAGGTTGCTGCTGCATTTCAAATTTTTATGGTTTTTATTGGGAGCGTTGTCCCAGAAAGCAATACTTGCGCTGTGTTAGCTTTAACTTTTACCTTTCTTATACGACCTGTCCGGAAAATCTCCTTACATTGTTTGTGTGCTCCCAAAGACATTGTTCGAGGTGTTAGAATCTGAATTCAGGTTAGTTAGCACATTAGTACCTTAGTGGGAGATATGCGGGCAAACTAATAGTGAACAAAGTTGAAGGAATCATCTCCCATTGTTGGTGTTAGTTGCTTTCAACAGGCACATTATTGGGCTTGTTTGAGTATTAACTGAAACAATACAGGGAGTGTTCTTTAATTATTGATGATGTCACCATTTCTGTTAGTTTGCATCTGTTTTACCCTTCAGCAAAAGAAGGCTGGAGGAATGCAAATCAACTCAATGTGTTCACTTACACATATCAACGAGAAGATGGTGCAGATGATTTTACACGAGTACAGTATCCTTTTGACATTCCATATGGTTACGCCTTGATGCAGCACTACTCCTTAGCCTCGGTAGAAATCTTCAACGCAGATGTTGTCATTCGTGAGGACATCACTCAGGACCAGTTGATTGATGTTATTGTAGGCAATCGAGTGTATCTAAAATGCATCTATGTGAGTTTTTTGTTTGCTTCTTATTCTTTAACATCTTCCACAGTTTTAAACCTATGGTTTAAAAATAGTAAATTGATGTTTTGAGTGTTCAAAGAACTTGTCTTTTCATACCTAAAGTGTATAGATGTAAAAGAGGCGAGGTACCAGGTTAATCAGCTATGCAAGTTTCTGTCGATTTGTATAATGTTTTTCCGGATGTTTTGGAAAACTTAGGACTTACACAATTTTCTAAAGGGGCATTACCGAGGAAATGAATATTCTTTGCCATGTTTTCTCGTTCGGAATTAACCGAAATTTGTGGGCCGCTGAAGCTCCCTGTCTGTTTGAATTTATAACATTTAGTAGGAGATGCGGCAGGTGGTAGCAGTATTTCTCTTCTATAAGCGGTATTGATAGTGCTTGGTTAGGGTGGTGGTCTACTATGCTCGAGAAGGCTCTCTGTACTGGATGATGCCTAGCCATGCGCTACTATTTATGACGAAACCAATTTAATGTGTAGGGAATAGTTCTGCGTGGAGGTTGATTTGATTGCTTGTAGAATGGTTGATCAACGTCTGTGGTATCTGAGTAGGGTTTAGAAACTCGTGTCATTAGATGATATAGAGCTTCAATGGCTGTGAGCTCCTTCACGCCCGAGTACATTTCTGAAAACTGGTTATTTTGCTTGATGATTGACAACTGTGTTAGGTTGAGCCATGCCTGTATTTCTTCAGAATCCAACGGACCGACGAACGTTTTTACCTCCAAACAGTCTTTCATTATCTGTCCCACGATTCTAAGGCATCTTCTTTATCTTTGGAAGCCTCACGGCTACGCCTGGTATCCATGTGTCCAATGTACCTCGAAACAACTAGGTGAATAAGGAAAGTTCCTTTAAAATGGGTTAGAACTAGTCATTGAATTCCTCCTGAAATCTGTAATTTTCACGTAAAATGAAGGGCGGAGAACTACAGTCTGCGTAGAGATATGATTGTTGCTGTATTGTTTTGCTTCTCGAAGCTATACTTATAAAAATGAAATAGTTTCGTTGGTGGAGAATGACAACTTTTGATATTCGATATTTCAATCAGTAAGTTTTTTTCCCAGAAAATTATTTGGAATAATTCCATTTGATCATCAAAGTCGATAGCTTTTATTTGGTCCCTTTATGAGCTTTCTTTGAGCTCTCTTTGCGTGTTCTCCATTTATAACTTGCACTAGAGATCTGTGTTTTCTGATTTTAAGGGTCTAAATACTTGCTATGTGTGTACTAGTTCCTTTTGCTTCCAAATCTTTCCTGAAACTATCTTTAGTGTTCAAAGCATTTTCTACTTTTGAGTTTTTCTTTGTGTTCTACCGATCAATTTCCATGAAGTTATAAAATTGTTTTCCCCTCAGTCGCCGGCCCAGTCGGGTTGTATTGACCTCTTTGAAGTATCTTAACGTCTGCTTCTGTCCTCGAAATATAAAAGGTGATTAGTTGATTCCGCCAGTCATTAAAGTAAATTGTCACAGGACTCCAAAAGTTGCTTTACTGTCAACATTCTGACGGTCCGAGGACCTGGTATAACAATGTACTAAAATGCACCTAGAGACGTATTATTTCCTGGAATAGCTCTACTTTTTCAGTGCTTCATTCCATTGCATGCTCATCTCTGTCAAGTGCCTTTTATTACGAAGATTGAGTTTACGATTTTATCTCCAGTTTTGTCAAGAATCATACCTTTATCAGAGGGATAAGAAAAGGGTTTTCAGCGTTCTCACTCCTCTTTGAGGTCACGTTAAGTCATGTCTGTGTAGCAGCGGAGTCCGCAGGGATGTTCACTGCAACTACATCTTGTCCTTCACTTGGCTGTGCGCTGGCAGAATATTATTCGAAAATTGTTGAAATAGATCCCTTGACCACCGCTTACAGAAGTTGGAATCCGATTTGCTCTGATCCCACTCCTCCTCTCCCTTAAGGTGTACAACAAAATTGACCAAATTTCCCTAGAGGAAGTTGACAAATTAGCGCGTGAACCACACTCAGTAGTTATCAGGTGAGTGTGACTGGTCGTTTCGCAACGGGACGCCATGTAGTTGCAACCTAAATCTCAATCTTGACTATCTTCTCAAAGTGTTGTGGAAGTACCTGGATCTTATTCAAATCTACACGAAGAAGCAAGGACGTAAGTACAAAATTGGGCATATAACAATGTCACTGAGTTGGTAGTTTATTTACCTCTATCACTTTTTTAGAAAAGCCGGATCTTGATGAGGGTATAATTCTACGCAATGGAGCGACTATAGAGCATGTTGTAGGCTTATTTTTTTTAATTTTTTTTAAAAAGACTGCTCGACCAATTTTTTACTCACTTTCCCGCCGTTTTAGTGCCACTGCATTCACAGGTCACTGGCAAGCAATTTCAAGTATGCTCTTGTCTGGGTGAGTTACTTATCAACTTGTTGGTAGAAGGCAATGGCCTTAAATGCAGCTTTCCCGCATTGAATCTTTCCTGAGTACATGCATTTGAACCGAAATTTTGCAGGCGTTCACCAAGCATATCACTACCAGGCATTACTTATCTGGCTCTGATTCATAGCCTTGTATTACAAGCTTAGCGTTTTGTTGCTTTCAGTGGGTCTCCGATTGTCCCTACTTTATTTTTCTTTTCAATCTAGTGCACTCCGTAAAATCCTAGCGATGTGTGTGCATTGCAGTGCCTATTAAGGTTTTATGGTCCTAATTTATTTAATTCCTAATGTAATTAAACCGTTATGAAGAGTCTACCAATTTTCATGAAATTGTTTTTATTCCCATCCTGACAATCCTGAAGTTTTCCTGGAGCATCTACTCAAGCTTAATTAGTAGAGATAGGTCATAGAACTTTGTCACTAAGCCTTTAGAATTGTTGTCAAGACACTGAGTGGATGGTTTATAGGTTAGATGCCGGCCATTATTATTGGGTTCATTTACTTCATTTCCATTCTTTTTGCATTTAGGGAACAAGTGTGAAGTTTAGTCCACAACGCGTCGGTCTTTCACATGTCGTCAATCATCACGACGTCATTCAGATTGTAAAGAAGTGATTTCATCATGTAGGGAACTGAAAATAAACTCTCTTTAAAAGCCATTTTTTGCTATCGGAAAAATATTCAATCCAGCGATAATTGATGCTTCCAGTTTCTATGAAGTGCGCTTTTTGGTACGTAAGTTAGAGGGCTGTTGAGACTTGGTAGCAGTGCAAATTGCTATAGTCGAGCACGTACCGCATTCGCTGCTGGCGTTTCATATGTGGGAGGCGTCAGGGTCTCCTTTTGGCACTCAGCATCACGCGCTTGTTACAATTGTTTTGGTATTGGTGACAGCGATAGCACCAACCAGTTAGGCAAACCGTTCTCTTGGGTTCGATATGGTTAAATTGACTTCAGACAAATCCTATTTTTGAATTAGCGAGTACATTTTCCAGTTGGCGGCTAGTCCATTAGCCACCTACATCAACTTTTGACTTCGGCTGTGCAAGTCTGAGTGCCCCTACTAATAAGGGGTCAAAAGCAACATAATGGCTTTATTGCCATCAATACTTGGTCCTAAGTATATTATTCGGACTTCACTCCAAGCAACTTTGTGATTGAGAAGGGCGGAGATGCCTCGCAGATGAATTTGTATACCATATTAAGAAATGAACCTAAATGACCTAGAGGTCTGGTAGTTTCTATCGAAACGTATAAGTCGCGTTCATTGTTTCGGTTGTAAGAACACGAACAAGGTTGTGGGGTCAGGCCATCATCATCATCATCAACTGCATCATGAAATGGAAGGGATGACGTTGAAAATACAAATTGATTATTGCCATACCACCTATGTTTTGGCGTGACTTCTGACACAGGTTTTACCGCCTCCAACCACGCGAGAGGAGAGGTTGCGGGTTTCTTAGGTGTCGATCACCAGCAGTTTGTGAGGGCCCAAAATTGCTGGACTTCCACGGAGCCACTTGGAGAGCACCTTGACCAAATTGTATTGCGCGGAGAGTCTCGTCCAAGTTTTCCGGTTCACTACGAATATTCACCAACACTAGACACTTAGCATCCCCTCCCAAAGTGGGCTTTAACAAGTAAGTCAGTTTGGTCTCCCTGTAGGTCGGTTTTAGACGCTTGCGTAAGGAATCGAAGACGCGAGCCAAACAAGAGAGTGACTTGTTGATGCACGTGGCCTCCTGAAAACGTTTTCCCACCGAACCCGACTTGCCGATATTCTCACTCCCAGCTAGGTCGGCGAGAATGAGGGTTCCGCGACTCTGCGTCTTGTTGACTATATGCTTACCGGTGATTCGTAGTAGAAGCAGCATGTGAGATCTTGAGCTGTTAGTGTTGAGGCGAGTGGCTCCGGTAATTCGCCGCCTTTCTCCTATTTCTAGAAGTTGAAGGATGTCCTCCTCGCCTTCAATAATCTTTTCAGTTAGATTTTGAAGCACCAGTTCGTCCTCACGAGTTGATAGGAGTCGCACCATGGACAGCCGTCGTTGATGTGATGGCCGCGGTTGCGCGAAGCTGTTACCTGAAGTGGAGGTCATGAACCCGGTTGGACTGAACTGTCGACTTTGAGTCGAGAGGTCTACACTTTGCGCACTTCTGCAGTCACTGATTGCGCAATCGCCACCACTTGTCTTGTCCGTTGCACCACCAACCAAGAGATCGAAGACCTCCTCCTGATAAACCTCAAGCATGCTCATGGAGAGTTGGTAAGTCCAGTGTTTGCGAGACTTACACAACTGTAGAAGTCGTTGAATTGCTCGGCGATTCACCCCAGGGTTCTGTGCACTTCCCACCATGGTGTGTGTTTTCCCACTTCCAGTTTGACCATATGCCATTATGCAAACGTTGAAGCCATCTACACAGGAAATGATAGAATCATCGACTTCTTTGTAGATAGCCTCTTGCCGTGCGTCTGGACCAAAGACTTTATCAAAGATAAAGCATTTGTAGCCTTCCGAATTGGTGGTCGATTTGAGGGACTTCAGTGTAGCGGAGGCTCTACCAAGGAGGACCTCAGGAATGTCGTTTGGACAGAGTAGTAGTTTGTCGTTGGAGGTGACCTTGAGGTAATCGATGGAAGGTTTCCGTGACGGGCTATGCGGACGCACCCGGCAGAGGACGCGGATGTTCCCGGTAATTTCTTGAAGTCGGTTGTGTATATATCGACGTTTCATCTCCTCCTCCCTTAGCACAGTTCCCAGGATCGAGAGTTGCGACCGTTGATTGGCTATTTTTTCCTTTATTTGCACTACATTCTGTTCCTCCTGTGAGAGACTCTGTCTGTGTCTGATTTCTACCGGTGGTCCTCGTTGCATGTGTGTGATTCGCTCACGCACTTCTTTGAGCGAGTTGGCGACTTCTGTGATAGCTGCACGTTGCTCTACCATGTACTTCCTCAAGCGATTCCGTTGCTCTCTCGCTTGCGTTGTCAGTCGAAATGCTCTATCACTAAATTCATTCATCTTGTCCAGTTGCACACGCAGCAAACGACACTGCGCAATTACGTCTAGAATGAAGCGCACGGAGGCATTGAAACGGTGCGGCCAGGCATGAGCTAGAGGACAAGCCATGTGCTCTGCAATCCTATTGGCCAGGTGGGTAACAGGGTCAGCGCCGGCTAGCACACTGATTTGAATGACTCTGTCATTTTCCATAGCAAAGTTATCCGTCGAATAGCTGGACAGAAGGCGTTGGGGAAACGCGACATGATGGCTGCGTTGGTTCTGATCTGCACAAATGTGGTGCAATAGTTGGTAGTCCTTGTAGAGTAGGTCGACGGCATCTAGTAGAGTGTAGTAACGGTGCTTCCACTGGTGTTTAATATACCACAACGCTGAGTCCAAAGTACTGGGTCTAGCAACAGGATTTGGAGGTTCTCGGTCGGCGCGTTTGCGTAGAATCTCTTCAGCAAACGAACCAAGGCTTTGTGCACACGTAAAAGGCTTTTTTGTACTGGTAATGTGGCGAGACTTTGCCAAGAGGAGGGGATAATTGAGGCGATATTTCATCAGATCAAGCGTCGATTCGAGGATGGAGGCTTTGAATTTCTCTGGTGCCTGATTTACGGACTTGTTTGATTTGACAGTGAGTTGGGATGATAGACTCCAATCACTTGGGTGCATAGAGACCGAACTCACCTCAGTAATGATAGAATCCTCCTCTAAGTCGGAAATAAGGGAGCATAGTGTAGCGGAGTCACAATTTGAGGTTTTATCGGACTGCAGGCTGCTAGCATCGCCATCGGCTTCGTCCAGGTAGGATGGCGAATTCTCGTAGATTTCATTTGATTTGGTGCAATATCGTTCAGAATGGGTGGGTTGAGCGCTTTGTGGTCGGAGAAGCTGGGATTGGAAGCACCAGGCCAGTGGGCTGTTGGAGCATGACTTGCCGGAGGTACCTAACGTCGAGGGCGTGAGTGTTGAGGATGGCGCATCGGCATTAAGGTTGCGGTGGGGACAAACCGCGGAACTGTATTCGTGACCATGGCTGTTAGTTTGGTGCCTTTTGACACAGTTATTCTCACATGCCATTTGTCTGCAGAGGTTCACGTGCAGTTAGGCCATGTGATTCGGTCAAGTCTAAGGTCGAAAAAGATTAGCTGTCTGGGTCACGCGGCTGCAGTGCAGGGCTATGCGAAACTCTTGATGCGTGATGCCTCAAGTATGGTGGGTGTAAATACTTCAATTTAGACGCGGCTTGTGTCCTGTGGTCATAGAGCCAATTGACTGGAGAATTTCCTGTTCCCATGATAAATGAAGACAGTGGCACGGTTGGCATTTGGATTTTGACATAAACGATTCCGATAAGGTGATAGCGGCAAGAAATGCGAGTAATACTGTATCCTACCAATTATTTGGCTTAGTTAAGCAGTCAAAAGTACGTCAGTTACATAGGCTCATCGGCCGTATTACAGGAAATGAATACAAAATGGCTCACCAAAACGTCGCAGGGCGTGGAGATTCACGAGTCCTTTATTCTGAGGGAAAAGTTGTGTTCGTTCTGATCTACATAGCACTGAATGAGTCTGAATAGCAGTGTCCTCACCTTGCCAAAAGGAAGGAGGTAACTATCAGACGCGTTGAATTAAGAACCAGGTTATCCTTCTTTGGTTACAGAAATTCACAATTCTACATACGAATACTCGGCTGATCAAATCCGAATGCCTAAGTCGTTTACAATAGATTTCGAGGTTTTTCAGAGCCGTTTGATGTTAGAACAAGCGTCAACTGCTTACATAGCTTAACACCATAGTGCTTAGATTGGCTGCAAATACAAAATCATTTTTACCCACAACCAGAAAGCAGAAAGAAATGTTGCGTAAAAGCAGATTTCACAAAACTGTTGGAAATAAGTAAAAAAAGGACTCGGTTTAGAGTTTGATCAAGTGAGAAATGGGAAGGAATGAATTGGAAACAAGGCAGGCAGGGAGGTCATTTTTTCGAGGGGAGAGACGGGAGAACTGAAGAGTCACATTCTTGTCTCCCTTTAAGACTTGACACCATCTGTACCTACGTTCGAGGTATTCTTCTTCGACCCAAGGACACTGGCAGAGGAGGCGCGCTTCTGATCCATGTTCTCTTTCAAAGCTAAAAACTCAGACTTGGTTTCCGAGCAGTCCACCTTTTTCGGTAAGGTCTCCGAAGAAACGCGTGTATCAGTCCCGTGTGACCGCATTTTCAAATCAGCCTTCCCCTTTACTTCATTGGCCTCCTTCTTTTCCGAATGCACGGATGGTGATTTTTCAGACCTCTCCTCTTTTACCTCTTTTTTCTTCTTCAGCTTACCTTCGTCACTCCTAGTCTTGCTCTTATGCTTGTGTTCACTCACAACTTCTGTTGACGAATCCGTTGTCGAAGTATCCGTGCTTACAGAGTTCTCAGAAGTCGACTTCTCAGATTCTTCATTACCTTCTGCGTCTTCCTTCTCTTGTTCCCTTGCCTTATCCCCAGGCAATGAAGTCGGTCGTG